CCAGCTGTGGTTGAAGCGGGTAAGCGACAACTGTTGGTGGAAGACGGCTAATACTCATGATATGGTAGTCTTCTCGCTTGAATAACTGCTGGAGAACGGGTTTGGTGCCGCGCCTAGCGCACTCCGCCAGAAACGCCCTTTCATCCGCCGAACAGGACTGTATGTCGTATTTTGTGAAAACATACCCAAATCCACCATTATATGCTTGTTTCTGAAGAAGAACATCACAGTACAAGGATCGTACAATTCGTACATCTTGTTGAAATCGGGAACCTAAAAGATAACGAAACCAGAGACATACCAGAAAAGGAAGCCAGGCTGGAAGAGAACCCAGAAATTCTGCAGTTGCAGACCGCTCACCTTCGTGATGTCGACAAGGTAAATCACCGAGAAATTCTTAACTTTCGGGGCAATCTTGAAAAGAGTCTGAAATAAACAGGATTATGAGTGATTGAGAATGTAAAGCACTGACTATGAAAGAATACCGATGAAGTAAGAAAGATTACAGATTCTTTTTCTGGTTGCCTCCAAACTGGGGAGTTGCTTGGTTGGACCTCGAGTTAGAAGAATATCGGGCGCTGTTCGGCTTGGGAGAGGCATCTTGCAGTTTTGCTAGATATTTTAGCTAGACCCTGTTAAAGAACACGCCATATCCTGGTAAAACTTGCGGATCTTGTCAAGTGTCCAGGAAGCTTCTGCTATTGCATTGCTTTACCAGGGCTTTACAGGCAGGTCTCCACAAGCAGGTATCGGCAATGATTGATGGGAACCACCACGATGCCCTCACCAAACCGAGCCGCGCCGAATATCTGGCCTTTATCACCTACCTCATCCATCCGCATACATGTGGGGTCCCAATCGTGGCCAAAACGCACCACAACAACACGGTCTTCCTCGGCGAGGATGGCTTGGTCTACCTTGAAAACAATGGCAAGTAAGAACCAGGAAGAAACCAGAAGTTTGTAGTTAACTTGTTTACTGAGCCTTAATCCAATTCAAGCAGAGTGTCATAGTTTAAGCAATCTAAGGCAAGGAGAAATTAGCAACGAAAATGTGCGACGAATCGTAAAAACATTGAAAACTTAACATACATGGAATCTCCAGATATGATTCCTAACAGCCCGTCACACTTGACCATAATGTTTAGCAACAACGTCATAAAATGTAGACCGTGAGAAAATCTCATGAAAAATTAATACAACTTCATACCTGCCATCCATTCTCCAAATGTGGTAACATATACGACATAGTTGCAGCTTTTCTGAATAGAACGCTCTACCTGAATCAGTATTCTGGCTGAATGTGACCGAACAACACGAAGTTAGTAACAAAAACGAAATCGATTTGTTGAAAACCACACAAACTTAGAAATAAAAGACCACTTCGAAAATACACAGCTGACAGCCCAAGCAATCAATTGAAAGGTATTTTCCTGACGTCAAATGAAATATGGTGTGTGCAATTACAACGGAAGTACAAGCTGCACGCACAAATTAAAAGAGAGGTTGAAACGTGTAGGCTTTAGCGTCTGTAAAATAAAATTTAGAGGTTGCAGCGACGTGAAATTTCGGTTTATGGAGGACAGGGGGACACTTTCCTAGTTCCCTAGTCTCTCCTACTAGTTCCTGTTGAGCAATACGTCTCATAAGTAATACGTCTCTTCTCTGTAACACCTGTGGACTCCCATCGATTGCCGACGAATTACGCTTCAATGAGAATTCACAGGTCTCTACAGCATTGCAAATGCCCGATAGGAGCCAGGAAAACGCCCCAACCAAGTCGCTGGTCGAACTGCTCCGAAGTTTCCTCCGCTTAGCAAATTCGTGGTAAATCCGCGGCTGCAGAGGGGAGGTGCTTTGCACGATTGCTACTCCCTAGTGTTGTGTCTATTGTTTTACAAGGGCTGGCAGCCAGTGAAAGTGCAAAAGGCCCTCCTCTCTAGTCGCCGAACTGCGGCGTAAAATCTATTGCTTGATAAGGCCACAAACTGTTTCGGAAAGCCAGACACTGGTAATTGTTCTTATGTTTCTCCATGAACAACATACCCAAGTAGTCATAGGTCACTCGACAAGGTTCTCATCACGTTGTTACTCTCAGTAGGCCCTTTTATTCAACTAAATCCACATAGCCTAATACTCTAATAGTCGAAGTGGCCTACTACTATAATAGTCGGAGTCCTTTTGAAATTTTATTGGATGCATCTGATTTTTACTATTCTCAATGTGTTGCTCAAAACTATGCTTTACTATTCGAATATATCAGCCCGTGAAAGCGGAGTTACCACGCTTCGATGCCAAAATTAGCCCCACAGCTAATTCCGAATTTGCGCGGGGATTCAATTGTTGGACCTTGTGATCCAATTTTTTCGAATTGTTAAGCCCGTTTGGTTGCTTGCTGGTGAAGCTCAGGCTCTCATGAGAATTATAACATCTCCTCTCTATAGCATCTTTTTACAATCCATCTCGAAAGTTCCTACTCTTGTAATTTTCAGGGCTCAATCTGTCTGCAATTTATTCATTCACTTTTACCGTTACTCACTAGATTAGTTCAATTCCGTGTTGCAGGGCTGCTAACATCTGCCAGAAGATGCTGTCTTTCCTCGATAAGCAAATTAAAATGGACTCTGCAGAAGATGGTGGGGTATTTTATGCAATTTTTTCTTGAAATGTGGTATATCT